GTTTGCCGTCTTCAAAACTAAAATGGCGGAATGCTCCAAGTCTCTGTCCAGTGTCTTGTAACTCGTAGCATCTGTTGCCACGATCAACGCACTTCCTTAAGCTGTCACCTGAAGAACCTAAAAGAAGGTCCTTTCTTAAGTTGCACTTTTAGTACGAGGGAGTTCTCTCGTGCCATCGGCATTAGTGTTCACTTGTCTTTGAGAAAACTGCTGTTTCATAAACAAAATACTCCGAATTCTCACATTTTCTTCGTCTGCAAGACTCAAACTGTTTACAATTTATGTAGTGGCTTCTTTATTGTCACCTAGTGGTCGAAACATTTTAAATATTTCACTCCGTGCCCTCATTTGCGTACACTCACATGGCAACTACGCCATGCACCCGTTGTCCGTGTAAACCCCACTGTAGTGGTGATACCCACCGGAGGAAGTGGTCGTGGTGGTGTCGTTACAGAAAGCTGCTGCGATGGATGTCGCGGGGTCCCCACAGTAGGTGGCAGCAGCGTTGTCTGGACTGTAAGGCAGGTTCTTCATACACGTGGGCTTGTGCATCGAAAGCATGTCCATCAGCCGACGCCTCTGAGTCTCCAGTTCTTGTATCTGGTTCTTCAAGTCTTGGTTCTGGTTTTCGAGAACTTCTGATTCCTGAAACACGTATTTTTAAAGCTTTTATGTACCATACTGAACTGATTAAGATGAAATGGATTCAGCTTGACCTCTAATGAACCACAGGATGCGATGGGAGTGATGGGAAAGAATGTAGAAAGTGGTAATGCCCTAGTTACCATCACATGATTTTCCTGGAGGGGACGAGGCCTCGACCTCGACCTCAGAAAAACCTGACAGGATAGCGAGTTTCCAGGCTGAGATTTGAATCAAAGTCCACTTGAATATGAACGAGAGATTTACATTCACTCATTTCCATTTCTCCAGGGTATTTTACTAGAAGCTACGACTAATGTGATTAGCCTATGCACTGATATTAGTTTATATTCTCTACACTGCAATAAGACAAAGATTGTATTCACCACACATTACAGAACTGAAACGTCGATCATGCCCGTTCCAAATCGGGCTGAAATTAATTTCTGTACGAAACCACACTCCGACCACAAACAGCGACCAGTGAGCGGTGTAGTCAAACCTTCTAGCTCTCAATGAATCGCACAGCAAGGCAAATGTATTTTTAGACGTTTCGATAGATGAGCAGTGGCGCACTGATCGGGCACCAGGCACCTACTTCATCTGTTTAAGACGGTTTCTCGCTATCGAGGTCTGGAACGGCTGAGAAAAACCATTAAAATCTGCTTCATGTCCGGGGAAAGGTCCCCGGTACCCACTGGATAAGAGGCTGGGTGGACCCCAGACGTCTGGACGCAGAGGCTAGAGGAAAAATCCTCTGCCACTGTCGGGGATCGAACCCCGGTCGTCCAGTCCGTAATCAGCCACTGTAGACTGCTACCCTGGCTTTATTTAAATGAGAGCGGAATGGTGCACCCCAGCTTTAAAGACAGACTTTCCAGATTAAAGACTCCCCCCCATCACCTACCTGCACCAGGTTAACTGTGCGTTCTCTCTTCTTTAATCGACACTTGGTGGCCGCTATCTTGTTCCTCTCTCGACGACGCCTTCTACGTTCCTCGTCTTCCGCCGTAAGCTGCAACGATAAGCAGTCAGACTTCACATAATGACATTCTGAGCAACTATCAGCTGCCGCCTGCACCACACAGTTGGTGTGGATGATGAGCTTAATTTGCCCGAGTCTTTCGATTTCGGACCAAATCTAATGTCGTTACATTTCGCAGTCTGACACACTGTAAGAACACGTGTTACCACCCAGACACATGTAAAAGTTTGAGATTAAGTTGGTAATACCGCAGCGGGTTACATCGCACTGCGTTAAACAATAAAATAGTAACCAAAGTTGGGGGGGGGGGGCAGGCGTGTGATGGTTACATCACCATAAATTATGTCACTTTAAATTTAGTCTTATGTCTAGGGTTGGTGACTTTAAATTATCGGCATTTGCTGGCAACAAATTCAGTAGACTTTAGACCCACTGACAAACAAATTAGCCGACTTAGTACGTTGAGAAACTTAACCAAATAACAAACAACACCGCACAAAGTCGTCAACCCTTTCAATGCCACATTTCCGAGAAAAATTACCAACACATTCTTCGGTTTATACGATGGCTTATTAGCTGCAAGTCACCAGTTTTCTGAAGCCACAAATAATTTCTTGATCTCATCTTATTATTATTTAGTGTTCTGTCTGACGACAGGTCCATATGAACAGGATCCTTCCATCCTTTTCTCGGACTGGGACCTGTTCATATACGTTCTTGGCAGATGATCCAGAAGTGGTTTGCCATTGCCTTCTTCTATGTGTGAATGGAGTAATTGTTGGGACGCCACGGAGGAAAACCCCGTGTTGCCTAGACCACGATCTTGCCCAACACAAGTTATAAATTCAGGCACCGCCGGGAATCGAACCCGAGACCCCAGGATTACAAGGCCAGCGTTCTAACCGCTAGCCCACCTCATCTTATTATTATTTAGTGTTCTGTCTGACGACAGGTCCATATGAACAGGATCCTTCCATCCTTTTCTCGGACTGGGACCTGTTCATATACGTTCTTGGCAGATGATCCAGAAGTAGTTTGCCATTGCCTTCTTCT